GCAGACATCCCCCAAGACCCACTTTTTGCACTTTTGTCTGGTTCAATGTAGATCCCTAGCGCTTAGTGGGACTTCCATGCATGGTTATTTAATGAATGGATACACTCCAGGAGGTGCATAATCATAAATGGGCAACCATACCATGAGACACCTTAGACTGAGACTAAAATAGCCACTAGAAGGAATACAATCACCTGTGTTGCCATTGCAACCACACCCTGGCTGTGGCCAGAATGTGAGTCTACATATCCATGGCACAAGCTTCTGAAACGCAATCACAAGGGCGCCTCCCACAGGGCCTGAAGGGGATCCCAGGTATGGCTCCGAGTCCTCCCGTATTTATTTCTGCTCACTCGATATGCACCTCTCCCTTGTCAACCTGGTACAACATGTTTATTTAAGAGATAATGTTGCCGTGGAGGAGTGCACAAGGCAATAAACAGCTTTTGCAGGCAATTAAATGCAGAAGTGAAATTGAGCTGCCGGTCAGTGGAACCAGCCATTCATCGTGAGTTTGTTCCAGTGTCACAAATGTTATTCCTGTTTCACAACAGGACAGGAATCTATGATTGGGCCACAAATCTCCAGTGCTGGAGACAGACTAAAAGCGATTAAAGCAGCTTTCAGCATGCAGGGCATTAACACAAAAGAGCCTTGAGATTCTGGGATGTGGACCCAGTGCCCCACTCTATTTTTTAAATATAGGTTTTGCACTTAGTGTGCTCAAAAATTACATGTGGTTTGCTTCATTTTGTAGAGAGACAGGAAGTCTCAACCCTACAATAAAAAGTCAATGGTAAGTAAGGTCTAGCTTTCAAAAATTATAATGCTCTCCACTAAAGTCAATTTTTCCTAGGAATCAGAAAGCTCTTGGTTGAAAAATATTTGTGCTGCTCCCTTAAAACGACACCGATACTCAAAGCAGCAAGGGAGGAAGGATGACTTATAAAACAATGACTCGCTCTGGTGAACATTTATGCTGGGTCTCAGTGACAAAGAGTCAAAAAGTAGATAGAGGAGACGCTGCCTAAGATTCCAGCCCTACAGGTCGAGCTGGGGTCAGACTAAGAGAGGATCCGTCAGGAGGGACTAGCACAGCACTCTCCTGGTGCAGCTGTGGGACACCAGCTGCGACAGAAATGCACGGCAACACCTGAGAGGATGGCCCCAGTGCGACCATCCCCAGGGAGCTTCCACCAGGATGGGGCAAGGCATGGCCCCAAGAGCAGAGCCAGGGCACCTTCCTACACAGCAGGAACAGCAAGGCTGGGGGAGGCCCTGTGCCAGACCACTGTTCCCTACACTCTGTCTTGATGACTTGGTGAAAAAGTGGGCCACCTGAATCCTTATCAATAATAACACTTACTGGTTTCAAGTATTATCTGTAGGGGCTCACCATTTAATTAAACAGTACTTCTTTATAACACATACATCATAGTAAACGTATTTTGCACATTATAACCTTTCCCTATGTTTTCAGGTTTCTATTTCCTGATTGGATCAAATTCTTCTCTAACCATAATAAAAATTATTCCATATACATTCATACCTGGCCCATATTCACATATCATTCCTTAGTGGTTCATATCTAAGCTGTGTATTATGTATAGCCTATCTTGTTACAGAGGGGATCTGAGGTAGCTAACTAAAATACATTAGAACAAAAAGCTGAAAATTGAATAGATTTTTTTTTTAAAGCAGAGTCAAATGAAAATAACGACTAATCAAATAATTTGCTGCAGTTACTATCAGCATAACACTTCTTGGTGTACACAGAAAGTCCTACTAATAGTAATCATCTCATTTCAGATATTACCCTGCCTTATGTAACCATCCATGCCACAATCCTACAAAGGTGGTACTCTGCCCACTTTACAAACAACCAGAGATTCAGAGGGCTCAGTTCTTTGCTCAAAGCTGCATGAACAGTTAAACCACAGTTAGAATTGAATATGGATCTTTAAGTGAGAGAGTCCATGTTCCCCAAAGCTCATTGTATCATTCCCCTAAATAAACAGGCTTGGTTACAACTTCAGGCTCTGCCATCAACTAGATGTGGGTGCTGAGCAAATAAATCATTTTAGCTCTGGACCACAGTTTTCTCTGCAGCAGAATGGGGGTGAATTAGAACACTGTAGGAACCATTTTAGCTCTGATAATCACTGGACCAGTGGGCACCTGTCATTTGTAAATTGACAGCTTAAAACTATGTTGGCTCTTGTATTTTTAATGTAAGAGTTGATTTCCAAGAAAACTAATTTTTTGTGGGCATGACTATAAGGTTTTAAGTTAAGCTTGCATTTATACTTGGTTGTAAGATTAATCCACAGACTCATAAAATGTCAGACTTAGAAGGGATGGAGGGGTCAAGCTCCCTCATCTTAATTGTTAGGGTCATTTTCTACATTATATACACACTGCAGGTGTGCCTAGATATGTTTTATTGATTATCACATTCACAGGAAATTTGTATGCAAATTCCAAATGCAACTTACAAATAATAAGGAATTCAGCATATATTTTAAACACCAATGGCCAAGAAGGCATTTTTCAGGAAAGCACTGGAGGCCCCATTCTCAGCCATCTGAAGTAACCATATTCTAGAAGTTTCTGTGTATTTCCAACCTCCACAAGTAAATAATGACAATCAGAAGAGGTTCCAAGAAGATCCCCAGTGAGAAGCAAAAGATGTAGGTAGGAATTCCAAGCCCTACAGAACGGAAGAGGGCTTCAGAATTTGTATTTCGCTGATGGCAGTTCTGCACCCCCTGATAAGCAGGCAGCACTGAGAAGCACCCTTAGAGTCAGACAGATACAGATGCCAACTCCAGCTCCTCCCGTTTGGTGGCTGTCTGACTCTGGATTAGTTGGCCCTCTGAGTCTCAGTGTCCTCCCTTGTAAGAAGGAAACCATCTGCTTCCTGGGGCAGCAGCGAGGATCAGTGGGCAATCAACAGTAGCTACAATTTCAGCGTTATGCCGAAGAAGAATGGGCATCACCTACAGTGGCAGGGAGGGACCTGTTTCTGCAAAATAATTTGTTATGTGAGAATGTATTACCAATGGAAGGTGGCTAAAAAATAGAAAAACTTAAGCCCAGCCCTAGGGGAAAACAAACTCATACATTAAATGATGCCTCACAGTCTCTAGGGATGGCTAAGCAGTGGCACCTCTCTCCAGCGTAGTAAGTGGTGGTTGTCGAACAAGATGGTGCAAACATGCTCCCCACAGGACTGACAAAGTTTGGGCAAGATTTTTGCCCCCACCTTTACTAGCACTGGTGCACGAACATGCTCTCAGGGGCATCTCTTCTGGCACACAGCAATTGAGACAGGTCTCCAAGACCAGGTAATGCTGCTGCTCAAGACAATCCGTGTCCGAAAGAGGGTGGACTTTGGTAAGGAGACTCCAAGGAAACCCAAGACCTTGCCATATCCTTCCCAGGTTTTCTAGGTGGATTTCATGTACATTAGTGTGTCAAGCATCACACCTGATGTGGAAAATTTTGACAAAGTAGGAGGGTTGATTAATTTAGGATATTCCTCACTCTGTTGTAAAGCTGATCATGGGCTGCCTTTCTTTCAGAAAACACCTAAGATTTTCCTTTCTCTGAAGCCAGTAAGACCTTCCCTACTCTATGCTTAAAGCCTGGAAGTAACCAGAAAACCAGGACACTCCAACTGTAGTCCCTGGTGCCTGGGAGTCTGCAGGATGAGCTGGGGTTTTTAGAACTACAAGATGCTTCTTTCTCCTTTCAGAGGAGAGTCTCTAACAGAAATCAACCTAAAACTTTCCTCAAATCATCAAATCCAGCTGGCACTTTGAAAGGCCTGTAGGGATCCAGCTTGAAGATCCAAAGTATCATTGCATTTCCTTTATGCTCATATTATTTCCCAATTCTAACACCAATATGCTTCAAGCTCCCTTTATAAAAAACATGATTCTAAAAACAAAACGTATGGAAAACTTATGAAACTGTGTAAGCCCAGTGGATTGCTGCTGACATATTAACACTCCAAAGAAGTCAGAACCCTAATGGTAGTCGAGAATCCAAAAGTGGGCTGACTCAAATATAAACAACTTCCTCACACCTAAAAAATGCCAAACTGAATACAATTGCTCAAAGGAAAATTCCAACTCACGTTTTTTTTTAAAAGCAGCCTAAGAAGGTCAAAGATTTGCCCTAAATCCTCATATATATACATCACATTGTGTTGGAATCAAATCCAAGCTGAGAAAGCCTGAGCATAGTAAATGTATCCAAATGAGAAGTTCTCACAGAATCACACCGTTCAGCTGAAGGGGGCTTGGAGGTGTTGAGTCTAAGCATACATGTACACATTACCACAACATGGTATTCCAGCCTGTGAATGTTCTCAATGCCTTCAATCTGCTGCTAATATACCAGCATGATGGAAATGATTAAACCTGAGGAAGCAGAAGCCCTACATAAGCACTGACAATGCAAAATGCTTTGTTTTACCCCAAACGTTAAAAGCTCTTGATTGCACACAAATTAAAAATCTGTACTGAAGAGCATGAACGACTGACCTCCATTTCCAGCTAAAAATGCATCAATACCAGCCCAGCACAAGTGATCTAATTCCTTCCTTACCTTTCTTCCACAAAAACGCACAGATTACAGCACTTCTCTCTCTCAGGGTGCAAATTCACCTCTAAGAAGGCTGCATACAGCATTTTCTAAGCTGTCCAAAGAAAATGGGGGCAAAGCTGGAAGGGGTTATACAGTCAGCCACTTGTGAATCTGACTCTGGCCAACTGGGTGTTTATGCAAAATGACACTGAAAAATACGGAGAGTAAAATTTGAAAACACAAATATTTGCATATTTCTTTCCAACTGCAGCCAACTTCTGGGGTAAATCACATTATGTGTAGAGCAAAGATTTTTTACACATATTGTATAATGTGCACACACATGTGCCGAGTTGTGTGTGTGTGTGGTTTTCACATATCCAGTTCACACTCCAGTAACATCTTACCTGCCACTGGTTTCCAGCCTGACCGGGCACATAAGGTGCTGGGCGGCTCAGAAGGCTGTTCTTCACAGTGGATCCCCCCAGGGAACTTCCCACCTCCCCAGAAGAGGTTTCAGCAGCCAAGGCCATGGAGTACTGCGGGTAGGTGTACAGGTTGTTGTAGTACGGGAACAGAGACGGCTGGTAAAAGCTGCTGTAGTAGGTGGAGTCAGAAACCAGGTCAGGCGTGTTCTCCATGTGCCCTCTGCTGGTGACAGCGGGAATATCCTGGATGACCATACGTCCCTCTGGAAAGGAAAAAAAAAGAAAAACAACATTGTGTTAACGTAGAGGTCTACAAAATGTTACCTCTAAACTCGGCAGTGTATGGTCTCTCTCTTCAAGTCTGCAGAGCTTCAGGGCAAGGCCCTTGAGCACACTGCTTTCTCCTGTGGTGGAGATGAAGGAGGGTCCCTGAGGTTGGTGTAACTCTCTGGTGGCACAATTGACCGACTCTTGGTGTCTGCTTTTATTAAGAATACCAAAAACATATCAGGAGTCATTTTAATTACATAAATCCTGACCGGGTCTAATTCCTAACCAGAAGTTCCTATTCTAATGTCAAGAAATTAGAGATCAAATCTAGTTAACTTGGCTGTTTGCAACATTTTTACAACAAAATTCATTTCACTTTAAATAAAGTTATTGAAAAAATCCCAGCACCCAAACCATGACAACCACATAGATATGTAAAAGGCCAGTTAGTCAGTATTTTAGGCTTTGTGGACCATTCAGTTGCAGAATGTACCGGCTGTACCTGTGATCCTGTTGCCATAAAGCTTTATTCACAAACACAAGCTGTGGGCCAAAATGGCCCACAGGCTGTGGTTTGCCAACCCTGGGTCTAAGACTTTAAAAGTGCGTTGATGCAAATAAACAACCAAATGGACTCCTAATGAGCATTAAACGATGTTCAAAGAGTTGAACCAGGTGCCTGAAATGGCGGCAAGGCGTCAGGATGCCCTGCCTGCAGGGAGTCTACAGTCTAGGATAAAAGATATGATAGGTTTACAAATACTAACAGGGATTGTCGCACAGGAATACCCATAAACTTTTATGGAAATTCTAAGGCTGGGATGACAGCTTGCAGCCTAGAAAGGGATTACAGAGACCTTCACAGAAAAAAGTGCCTCTGAATTGCACTTTAAAAGTGGAGCAGGAAATCGGTGAGGAATGATAAAGAGTCATGAGAAAAAGGCAGGCAGGACGAAGTAATGGAAGCAATCAAGCAGGAGGATAGTTAGGAGTGACGGGCAGGGCAGTCAGGCTGGAGAGCTGGGCACTTACAGGGTAAAAGAGGTCCAGTGTGCCAGATGGGCAGGAGCCTGGAGAGGGAAAGCCTTGGTCCAGCTCTCTGAACCCTTCAGGGAGTGGAGCAAACTGAGGATTTCTGAGCAAGGAGCACAGTGGGTCAGAAGTGTGTGCTGGGGTGAGCTATCTCATGGCGATTCTTAAGACAAGTGAAGGGAAGAGAGACCAGAGGTAGGAGGCCCATTAGGCAGCCAGTGGGAGAACCATGGGCCTGTAAACAGAACAGGACGACCCGTGCCCGGGACACATGGGAGACAAAGCTCGGCAGAACAGGGAACCAATGGGATGTCAGGAACTAAGAAGCAGGAGAAGGCAAAGAAACACATTTGGGGGATAGCAGGAGCCTGGGCAAGGCAGAGGAGAGGGAGGTAAGGAGTTCTGCTTAGTCAGGAGGCCAGAGGCCCACACGAGTGGGGAAGGCAAACGTGGGTGAGAAACCTGACACACACACTCATGGGAGATGCTCATTGCATCCAGGGAGAGGGGGACGGAGCTGTTAGGGAAGAGCACGTTCGGAGAAAAGACAAGACCACCAAGTCTGGAATTATGGAGACCTGTGGAGAGAACAGCGTCAGAGGCCAGAGGGGATGCAGATTGTGAGGGCTTTGTGGTTTTACCCTGACGGAAGGAGCAGACGCCTGCCGGAAATCCAGGAACAAGGAAGCAGTGAGGAAAGAGAGATGAGCATGGTGGAGGGCCTTCTCTCCCAACAGAACTAGGATCGGCAAGAGGCCTATGCCTCCCAGCTCCCTGCCTGGTGGTAAATACTTGTGGATCAAAGGATAGTGGTTTTTCAAGCAGCCTGGCATCAAAATTAATGTGAGGAAAAACCCAGAAGATCCAAGGAGTAACAAGATGTTATTTCATTTTTAAAACATAGAGAAGGGTTGAGCATATGCAAGCAGGGAGAAGCAGCTAGCAGAGAGAAGTTTCCCAGGACAATCAATGCATGGCCCAGAGCAAGTGCTCAGAAAGTGTCCATGGGCTCAATGTGTGGAAGGAGAGAAAATAGACAGGGGCAGGCATGACAGACACTCACTCTGGAAGGTTTGCTTGAGGACAAAGTAAAATGTATTTTTACAGGCTTATTTTTAAATCAGCACTTAGTCTCTTTTCTCTGAAAGGATACCATATACAGCCATGTGCCAATGCATTGTCAAGCCACTATTTCCTTATATTTCTTTCCTGTCTTGCCTCCTTCTCTTCTACTGAGATGAGAAATTCCAGTTCCATTACTGCACAGTGCATCTGGAGAAGGTACATGTCATTCTCGTCCTGAACTTTCCCATGGGTCATTTTCCTATCTTTAAACACCAATTGAGTGCCATAATATGTGACTTTCAGTATCTAATTCTTTTGTTCTCAAAGTAATGTCTTTATTGTTTACCTGATTACAAAAGGAATACAAATTTCACAACAATGATAAGTTATATGAATCAAAGAAGGAATGAATGACATATTCTTACCACCCAGTCATAAGCATCAATGGGACATCTGAATTCAATCTCATACACAGACATTTAGGAAGACATTTTAGATGCTATTCCTGTCCCTACAGTGGAAAAAAACTGGATACCCCATAGGGTCTGCCCTTCAAAAGCAAGCTTCTTAATAAAGAAAAAAATATATAGCAATAGGTAAAGAATATAATAGAAACCCAAGGACACCAGCATTCTAGAATCAGGGCACAGGTTTATGAATTTTGGCATCAAACCTCAGGACCTTTTATCAGGCCTCAGTTTATCCAGCAACAAATTGATGTGAGTAATAATTGTCAAGTTAACAAGAGAATGGCCGCAATAAACTGCATAGTAAAGCCCAATAAAATGCTACGTCAGATCACAGCAAGGATCTGTTTTGCTACAGCTGATTGTAGCTAATTAACAATGTCATCACTCTTCCATTTGCCCATATTTTATTTCCTCCAAATGGAAGTACAAAGTTGGATTAAATTTTGCTGTTCATAACTGCTACTGTCCTAATATGCGCAACAAGACAAAAGATCAGCAGGACTGGTTTCAATAGCTAGGAAAGGCAGCAGGAACTGGGAAGTCATGTATCTGGAGAAATGACCAACAGCCTCATCGAACAGAGACAGAGCTTGCAGACTCGATCACTTGTCATTCCAATGCTCGTATGTGCAGCTCTGTACATTCACCATTTACACGTCAGTTCTCCAATAAGGCTTCCCAGTCCCTCTGCTACTTTTTTTGCACTAACTTAGGCAGCATGAAATATGATTCACTCCTTCATGACAGATCGATACCCACACATGATAAATACCCTTATTGATCTTGCAGTGTTATATGCTGGTCTCCAGGCCCATGGCATATTAATAGTAGTTAACCAGTAATTCATTTTAAGGTATGTGAAGGCTTTTATTCCCCACTCTTCTCTAGTGTCAAGATTCCCAGAGTTGTTGCACTTTGAGTCCTTTACATCCAAACCCAGGGGCATACTCCCTTTGTAATGACAAAACCAATCCCCCTCATTTCTTACATGAAAGAACACAGATGACCCCAAAATTAACAATTCACAAACAATAAGGCTATTTGTGATTCACCAAGACCTTACTTACATAAATGGTTAATTTATTACGCCAGGTTTTACTTTTCCTTGTAATCCCATACGTTGCTTGGTGCCTGTCCTACTTAGCTTCTAGATTTTAAGAGTAACCTATCAGGCAAAACTGGTCACCACTAAGTCTGAGAACTCAAAATTGTTTGCCGTCAACTAAAGAGTTGTGCTGAGTGCAAAGAGGGCACAGAAAAAGTACAAGTCATTTTCCCCCTTCTTTCTTTTTTTTTTTCAACGGAAATTAAGGTCTTAGGAAAAAGACTAAGTGGTGTGATGAGGACATGTCGTGGAATCTGGAGGATGACGGAATCCCGCTGGAACAAGGAGGTGTAGTCAGCTCCCTGCTTCTAGCACTCTCCTCGCAGGGCAACCCTGTGTCCCCGTGGACGGCCCTTGCACCTCTGAGACTTAGGAAGCACCGAAAAATCCATGTGGTGCCTCAGGACGGTTCCTCTGTGAGGGAGAGGACCGGGTGAGAGCGACATGGGGAGAAGAGCGGATGTGAGCGGACACCGGGGCCCTCCGGACACTCAGCTAACCCCAAAGAGGCTCGGCATCCCGATCAAGGGAACAGGTGTGGTTTCTGAGATGAAGCAGAGCTGGTGCGGAGAAGGGCCTGGTCACCGAGGTGGCAGTGTGCCTGCTGCTCACACCACACTAACTGGTGACTGAGATCATGAGACGGACACTACAACAACTGTCACCTTCCCCTGCTGGAGACACAATTCACGTTCGATGTAATAAACTTACTGAGCACCCACTGTGTGCATGGCAACCTGTCTCGTACCTTGGGAGACAAAGGACAGAGTCCCTGAGGCCGCAGGGCTCATCGGTAAGGGGAGAACCCCAAACACACACCCAGGAGAAACTGCCCACGGCTGCGGGAAACACAGAGCTGGGCGGACAGGAGCACAGGATCAAGTCCAACCTTCAGTGTACAAGCTGTGCCACTGCCGGCTCACTAACATGGCCCAGTTCACACGGCACTGAATATGTGTGAGCCCGTTTCTCCTTTTCTACCTGGGTAATTTTTTTAAGTGGAGAGAAAGAGAGAGAGACTGTTGGTGGCCAGGTCTAAGAAACCATATTAGAGAGATATTGGGGGAAGATGGAGAAAATATAAAGGGGGAAAAGCAGTACAGGCCTTCCAAGGCAGCTGCTAAAATCTGACACAGGCTACCCTGAGGCCATTGAAAAGCCTAGTCAGTAACAACCACAGCTGTTCTGTGCAGCACTTCCCACAGTGCTGGGGGGAGGGAAAGCCAACAATCAAGCAAAAGCCAACCCCTGCCCTCAAGGAGCTGACTCTGTGTTGGCATAGAGAACAAGGGAGAATTTGAGGGATCAGAAAAGGTTTTATAGCAGAAGACACGCAAAGGCGTGCACACACGCACACACACAACGCAGAGAGGGCTGGAAGGCATTCCAAGTAACACAGCACAAAAAAAGTTTCTGGGATGGCCAAGAGGCCTGCAGAGTGGGGCAGGTGGAGCCCAGAGTCCCCGGCAGGATGAGAACGAGGTCACCGCCAGCACAGCACGATGGAGTTTGGACTCTGCTCCAAGGTGAAATCACCTGGAGCAGCTGACAGCATCGTGGCAATGCCCATCTCACACACCTGCCCACCTACCAGCAGTCCTGTTCCCAGGAAAATCGTTAGCCCTACCGCAGGAGGCAGATATGGAGAAAATGTCACTTCTCTGACTTTGTGAGAAAATGTCTCATGGTCACGAAAGCCTATCTGGCGGCTAAGAAAGAGGTTTTCTCCAGGCCGGCTCAGAATTTCCTATCACTGGCAAGATGCCAGAGACAGTTTGAGACTGTCAACACCTCCCAGCAGATGGAGCAGGCCCTGCGACAGACAGGCTGGAGGTGAGTGGGAGTCGGGAGGGGCGAGAGAAGCAGGGTGACTGTTTCCTCCCCACAGTGCTCTTTCTGGAAGAAGTGGCATGGAGAACCCTTCTCGAATCTTTTTACTCTCTCCTACTGAGCACCTTTTAAATGAGGAGCATTTCTGACTGATGTACATAAACTTGGGTCCACAGGAAAGGTCTGCTCTGAACTGTATTCAGAGAACTTGAGATGCAGGGGCTTAGCTTCTCAGGGTCTTTCTGCTCAGGTCCGAAGCATGCTGATTATAGAAGTGTCTGGGTTTAAGTCTGCATGTGGCCAGCCCCCTTGAGGTTTGGGATTTAGATTCTGCTTCTGTAACTTTCTTTTTAAAATAAGATCATAGATGTTGATCTTTTCTCCTCCAGGACAGTGACCTGCAGTGAAAAAGTGGATGCTTAAGTAAATGCGAGGAGTTAAAAAACAAAATGACTAATCATAACTGTTTCACATGACTTTCAGTCAACTTAAGATTATACCTAGTTCAATTTGATATCCTTACTTTTCAGTCAGGTATTTTGTCTTGTAAACTGTTTCAAGTCATCATGGACAGTAACCTTACCAATTGCTGAGAAGGGCTGGGTCCCCCAGGAACAGAACTGGCCTCTAAACCAGAAGCTCTTGGCTGCGGTGGGGGGTGGGGGGTAAATTCCTCAAGACTGGGAATTTACAGGAGAGCCTATGGAGGGGGACCCGGGCGTCAGAACTGTTCACAGCCCAGGGTGATGCCAGCAACAGCCAGTTGAGAACTGCTTTAAACCCATCAGAAGCTGGTGTTTTAACACCTGGGAGTTACACCTTTACACTTACTGCAGCACTCCAAAAATGTCACTGGTGCCACCCCACCCCCACCCCAATTCCCTTTCAAGGATCCACAAAGTCAAAACTACTTGCACAGTTACATAACTGTGCTTATTTGCCTTTTTCACTGGGTTGACATTTGCACTGATGATGCAGAAGCAATTCACCACTAGTGTCTTAGGACAAATCACAGCCGTCCAGCAAATGGCACTCATAGTCAGTCACCACACTCTTCACTGCTACAAAGGGAAATACTTAATCATTTCAAGAATTTTCATGTCGATCTTGCTTGATGTCCTTGATGAAGCACAAAACAAACCCTTGATTAAATCTCTGCCTATGAGGGCAGTCTTCACTACTGTGGCCAGGTGGGAGGGACTCATAAACTCTCCTGCTGGCTGCCCCAGCAGTGGCTTCCAAGAGATAAGCACTTCGGCGAATGTTTGCATTCGGAGCTATACTCAAGGCTTTTTGCTTTTGTAGAATACGATGTACACTTCAAACAGTGCTGAAAAATGATGAGATGTGGTATTTGGCAGACAGCATCTTGAAAATGAACCAATCGAGCCCATGACTTCCAAGAGAACAACTGAACTGACAGTATTTGCCAAAAATGTGAGCTTTCAAGTAAAAATTAAGAGTTTGGGAAAACTCAATGTCTGCCACCATACGCTTGATGGCTTTCTAAACCTAAAGACTCTCCGACAAGATCAGTGGTGATATTATTCATGAGTGGGGTTTTCTGGTATTTTGTTATGAAAGATGCCAACATATAGAAGATGTGCCCAACTCAGCAAATGAATTATTTTTCAAGTGACCAGTGCGTGGTGTTACAAAACAATGCACAGGTAAAAGATCCACTTAAAGGGCAGTGAGTTTTAATTTAACAGAGTACAGAAAGCTCATTAACATGGTTTCCAACACCACACTGCAAGTAATCTTTAAGAAATTATCACTTGTCAAGTTTTACTCTAGTATCAAAGAACAGTCACAATGATCTCAAAAGGCTATTCAAACCCTTCTCTCCCTTTTCTTTTCATCTATGCAAGCTGAATTTTCTTCATGCAGTTCAACCGAAACAACAGACTAGATGAACTAGATACGGGAAGCCCCCCTTGTACTACTGCGGCAGACATAAAAGAGATTTGCAGAATGTCAAACAATACCACCCTCCTGATTTTTTTTTACTTTGGAAAAACAGTTATTTTTCATTAAAATATTTTACGTATGTTAGCAAGTAGTGGATTTGTTTTAAAGGAATTAATAAACATATTTTTAATTTCTCAGTTTTAGATCCTAATTCAATAAATAGTGATAGATGTAATCCACAGAAGCAAACTCTTTGAGGTCCTTAATGATTTTTAGCAGTGTAAAGGGATCCTGCCACAAAAACAAGTTTGAGAACCTCTGTCTCACAGGCTCTTCTCATTCCAGGGGGACTGATTTCAGAGCAG